ATTAAGGATATTCGTGGATTTCCTCAGTTCTTCTAGGCAAACATCAGAATATTACCTCAATTACGACATGGCCTCTAACTTCAAAGTTCTTATCAGGTCATTATCCATCAACCACCATATCGTTCGTCTCTACACATGTTGAAGCACTGACAGCTCACCATACTCTGCTATATCCAAACTGCATGGCGTCATATCCCAGAAGTCCGTTATATTTGTATATGCCACCATGACAACCTGAAATGTCAAAAAATATTCCTTTATCAATATGAAATACAGAGTAAATAAGATGAAGGAAATGATTTAGTAAATTCTGGATACGAAGTTGTGTAATAAATTCTTGAAGAAAAAACTCACATGAAGAGATTAAACACGAATACTCTTACAGAAACACAATAAATGAACGTAAGGCTTGCAGCATTCTTCTTGAAAACTACATTATCATTCTTACTATGGTATGTAACGCAAGGAATTGCCGAGTTTTTGGATTTTATCCACCGTCCAGTGTTCTGAAAAAACAAAACGTTCCTGCAACTGGATTTGTTCCGTCCTCAGGTGAAAGAGAGCGAGGCACCCATTCTATTTGTCCAATAGAAAGCTCTAACCTGGGTCCGGGTTCAGTGATGGAGGTTAGATCTCTGTAAGGAACCGAAAAGTGCAGGTGTCTCCCACGCTCAAATAAGCGATCCAGGTTAGCTCTTTCTAACGAACCCAAGAGAGCAGGCGCCTCCCACGCTCAGAAAAGTGATTCAAATTAGCTCTTTCTAACGAACCCAAGAGAGCAGGTGCTTCCCACGCTCAAATAAGCGATCCAGGTTAGCTCTTTCTAACGAACCCAAGAGAGCAGGCGCCTCCCACGCTCAGAAAAGTGATTCAAATTAGCTCTTTCTAACGAACCCAAGAGAGCAGGTGCTTCCCACGCTCAGAAAAGTGATTCAGGTTAGCTCTTTCTAACGAACGCAAGAGAGCAGGCGCCTCCCACGCTCAGAAAAGTGATTCAAATTAGCTCTTTCTAACGAACCCAAGAGAGCAGGTGCTTCCCACGCTCAGAAAAGTGATTCAGGTTAGCTCTTTCTAACGAACGCAAGAGAGCAGGCGCCTCCCACGCTCAGAAAAGTGATTCAAATTAGCTCTTTCTAACGAACCCAAGAGAGCAGGTGCTTCCCACGCTCAGAAAAGTGATTCAGGTTAGCTCTTTCTAACGAACGCAAGAGAGCAGGCGCCTCCCACGCTCAGAAAAGTGATTCAAATTAGCTCTTTCTAACGAACCCAAGAGAGCAGGTGCTTCCCACGCTCAGAAAAGTGATTCAGGTTAGCTCTTTCTAACGAACGCAAGAGAGCAGGCGCCTCCCACGCTCAGAAAAGTGATTCAAATTAGCTCTTTCTAACGAACCCAAGAGAGCAGGTGCTTCCCACGCTCAGAAAAGTGATTCAGGTTAGCTCTTTCTAACGAACGCAAGAGAGCAGGCGCCTCCCACGCTCAGAAAAGTGATTCAAATTAGCTCTTTCTAACGAACCCAAGAGAGCAGGTGCTTCCCACGCTCAGAAAAGTGATTCAGGTTAGCTCTTTCTAACGAACGCAAGAGAGCAGGCGCCTCCCACGCTCAGAAAAGTGATTCAAATTAGCTCTTTCTAACGAACCCAAGAGAGCAGGTGCTTCCCACGCTCAGAAAAGTGATTCAGGTTAGCTCTTTCTAACGAACGCAAGAGAGCAGGCGCCTCCCACGCTCAGAAAAGTGATTCAAATTAGCTCTTTCTAACGAACCCAAGAGAGCAGGTGCTTCCCACGCTCAGAAAAGTGATTCAAATTAGCTCTTTCTAACTAACCCAAGAGAGCAGGTGCCTCCCACGCTCAGATAAGCGATTGAGGTTAGCTTTTCCTAACGAAATCAAGAGAGCAGGTGTCTTCCACGCTCAGAAAAGTGATTCAGGTTAGCTCTTTCTAACGAACCCAAGACAGCAGGCGCCTCCTGCGCCCGGAAAAGTGACTGAGGTTAATTTTTCTAATGCACCAAGAGAGCAAGCGTTTCACTTCCTCAGATCAGTGGTTTTCCTAACAAACCCAATAGAATACTTTTGCCAAACGACGGAAAGAAATCCAGTTTCAGAAACGTTGTGTATTTCAAAATGCTGACCACTGGAAGAAACTTAAATATCAGTAATTCCGAGTGAATTATCGTTGCCGAAGTAAAATTTAATCCACAACTGACACACTTTCAAACTTCTTATATTGTCATTTTTCGTGGCAAATATATTTCTATGAAACATTCCAAGAAAGAGCTGGATCAAATAAACACATATTGTATTTGAGGGCCTCACAGTGGTACTTATGAAGGACACTGTATTCCCGAATGTGATGTCGTGTAGTCTGGTAGAGGTTTACGGACGTTTCGCAGAAACGTACTGCCTTCAGCTTCAGGTTCTGAGATATTCTATGTAAGTAATTTACAGGAAACAAGCAGCAAGCTGTTGAAGATGGAGGCAATACGTTCCTCCGAAACGTCAATGAAATTTACCGGAATAGTTACTGTCACATCCTAGAAGACAGAGTTAGTTCTTCAATTATACTTAGATCGTTTCGGAATATACTGAAGTTTACGACTGCAAAGTAATTTTTAAAATTAGAACCTATTCAGCTTCACTAGATAATCCTCCGTGAGAGAATACCAATTATGGGAGTGCCTATATTTTATCACACAATGCAATTATATTAAAACAAGAATTTCAAGAAGATAATAACAAAACATACGTTCATTTGTTTGAAGACTTTATATGATCTACAATTATTTCGCCTCTCCTGACTAAATTCAGCTTCCTATGGAACAGGTACCGCGAGCTCTTTCTCCAGGAATAAAGCGGCCGAGGCCTGAAGCTCACCACTCACCTCTCTCTAGTGCCCAGTTCAACAAAATTAGAGCTATAACTGCACTCCCCCACACGTCTTCATTGCGTGGTGTTTACGTATTTGAGCAAAAGAACAACGTTATCTTCACCTTACCTAATTTTTATGTAGGATTGAACTATCATAACGGAACTTGTTCATGAAGCTACAGCACGTTAAATATTACTTATCAATGGTGTAATTATATGATGCTTTAATTTGTTTCCTTACTTGAATACAGGGAACTCATCTAATAACTTTTATGTAATGGAAATTGGTATGTAACGTTGAGTTCAGATTTCACGGAAATCAGATAATGTCTTTCAAAATTCATTATTTAATATCATCATCGTCACTACAAAAACAAGTGTGTTTGACCCATAGTCTTCCTTAGAAGATTCTGCCAGATTTTTCCAATCTTTGGAATCATACCAAGTGATTCTTTGGATTTCGCAATAATAATATTTTTTGCAGAACATGGTTGTCAGCCTCGCGTCCAACTCCCAACCTGGAGGACCAGGTCCCTCTATTTATGTCTCCCTAGTGCCAGGGTGGTCAGTTACCCTTAGGCACGGTTTCCCTTTTCGTCTTCTTCTGTTACTCGCAGGTTTATGGTGGAGTTGTTCTTATCCGCCTTCATACAACGCATTCTCAAATATAAACTCTCATAATCATCTATATCGGCTGCACAATTGTCATGGTAAATCATGGGTTACATAAAATTATGTAGGCCGTTTGCAATAACACGACGCTTCACAGAATGTTTTCTTCATATGCTGCAATATATGAGGTAGGCCAACATCAAATATAGGATGTTCCATTCAAACCTCCCACATTTTATCAGATCATAGAACAGAAAGTGTGAATGGTAGGGAAATGAATCTACGGGAGATACAAGAACAACTAAAAATCTATTTGACACACTAATACACCTCTACATGTGCAACATTGTTAGCACGAACAATCTCCAATCTGTATTCAGTTTCTTGCCACGTTCTTTCAACATGTCCATTGGTACAGTAGCAATCGTTTCACGCATCCGGGCTCGTAAATCTGGGAGGTCATTCACTGGAGGCACGAACACACGGCCCGTCACGTAACCCCAGAGGAAGAAATCGAGCGGAGTGAGGTCCGGTGAACGTGGTGGCCACCAAATTCGTCCGCCACGTCCAATCCAGCGATTTTGGAAGGTGGCATTGAGAGACCTCCGAACATCCAGACCCCAATGTGTGGGCACTCCACCTTGTTGGAGGATTATGTTAGGCTGCAGTTCGCCTACCTGGGGATACAGAAACTGTTCTAACATGTCAAGGTATACTGTAGCTTCACAGAAGAAAAACGGAAATAAAATTCTTTCAATTCTTCTTTCATCTAGTGCTAATTATTATCCATAATTTATCACAAATATTTTGCAATGATTAATTAAGATGTGGGAGGTTTGAACGGAATACTCTGTATTAAAAAAAAGCGTTTTTCTCTCAGTCAGTGTGGTGAAATAAACACTAAGTCAGTGTTAATGTTCTGCAGTTGTCACGTGATTTATACAACACCGTATCTCAGTATTTTCTGATTTGACCTGTTATCGCTCCGGTTACGTCTTCATCCACATGTATGATTACAGCCATTTAATTTTTTTCCTCTGCCTTTTTCAGTATATAATAATGATGTGAAGTGTTTTATCAGGTACTATTTCACCCGTATTTTTATTGGAACAGCACTGGAGTTCATAATTTTCCGGCCTTTTGCTAGACTCTGTTAATAAGTCATATAATTTTGTGGTTTTAATAATCATTTGTTTTACTTTGAATTATTAATATGATGATATTTACTTTACTTTATATTTACTTTTGTAGTACCTTCGACATATGTTATACTTAGACACTGCTTGGCTTCGTCTCTAAAATCTAATTGTGTTCTTTCAATTGTGCATATTGCAATTGAATTTTTGTAATATTTTCATCAATCTGTCTGTATATTGTGTCCTCGTGCTGACTCTGTAATTGGCTACCAGCTGTTGAGTACAGCACGTAAATAAAACCAAGAATTGAATTGAATTGAATATTTTACTGCATAGTGATTTATACAGTTAAAGTGTTATTAATTACAATCTCCTTTCTTTCAGGACCTCCACCACCAACAAATTGTGAGTATGATATATCTGAAGAAGTCTTAAAATTAATAAATAAATATAAAATCAATATTTACTTATAAATTGCCAACAGTTTATTTACTTTAGGAGAACACGAAACATCTCATTTGAAGTATAATTGAGACAGTAAATCCAAGAGAACTGTGATTTCTGAGAAGCAGACAATCGGTCACAGATCAAGAAATTTCTTTTTTGGTTTATGGGATCAGACGTTACACTACCAATTTCACATGAGCCGGCTAATTGGCCCTGTCTTAAGCCAAACGGATCATGTCCATATCCTTACAAACTATTCCTGAATAGTAATTTTAATTTGCCATATAATGGGTGTCAATATCTTCCAAATTACCTCTTCCTTTCAGTTTTTTCTGGTAGAAAATTTGTTAATAATTTTGTATCCATCGCATGCACGTTACACTTCCTTTAACTGTAACAATCCTTAATTTTTCAAACTCGATAATATATTAAAAAGAAAAGGGCGTTTCTCACAGTAATTTGATCAAACACAACTTCAAAATATTAATCTATGGAGATAATATCAAACCCATTTCGTGGTTCTTACGGAAGATGCGTAAGATTTATGGTGCTGGTTGTGTCATCATGTCCCTATAGAGAAACAAACAAATGCGTTTACGAGTGTCCAGCAGTTCAGAACCTAGGATAAAGACAAATTACCTTCGTTATGAGGCTGCAAATAAAAGGGCTTTCAAAAGCATATACGCACAATAAGAACACCAGATGTCGAACTTGGAAATATTCGATATACTCGAAAATTTTACCAAATCTGAAGACATTTCGCAGATACAGGTCCATCATTAAGGTAGAATTTTAATCTGGGTAAAGTATATGGGATAAGAAGTCATGAAATGAAAACTTGACGGCTTCTGAGAGGGAAAAAGGTAGTCCTAAGAATTATTATTATTGTTGTATAAATCTAGCTCTAACTTTCAATTTCATTGGCAATTTAATAACAATATTAAGTTCAGACATTATTATTAATGTGTCGTTTCAACTGCCGCGGCGCTAATTACTGAAGCCACTGTACAATTTAAATTACAATAATTATAATATTCTACAAACAGGAACATCAAAATAAAAATTAAAAAATGGCAAAATTACATTTACATCAATTACAAATGTAAATCAGTGAGAGTTGTCTCATGAATATATAAATTTCATGGAAACTAGTTTTTATTTATTTACTCATTTGTTTATTTATTTATACACAGGGGGATAACAGCAATACATTGGACTCGTATTCAGAGGTGGGCTCATATCGAATCTCGGCCGGGTCTCTGGCTATCCTGGTTGAGATTTCTCGTGGTTTTCATCAGGTCCTTCAGATAAATGTTTGGGTAGTGTCTCAATTAGGCCACGAGTGAGTCCTTCCATTTATTTTCTAATTCAACATTTTCCAGTCTCACTCTCATAAGGTTAGCAAGTGCAGATATGCCAACGTCACAAGTTAGCCCCACCCAAATGCTATTTACAGGCAACGGACATGAATTAGAAGCAGCGGTGTGTAAGAAATTATACCTCATAAGGCAGTAGTCTTCAGAACCGTCGCCATGAGAACTTCGAAACGAATAAAATGATTACGGTTTTATTAACGTTTAATCTCATGATGTAAGTAGCAAATTAACCAATATAATGTGATGGATTTGCTCAAAGCGTTAAGATTTGGAGCCAGAAAAAACTCATTGCTAGGTGGAAACTGTCATACAAACACGCGGCCACACGTGCAGGAGCAAGCGGTAGCGTAGTTGGTTGAGGCACTATGCTACCAGCCGAAAGTTCGCTGGTTCGAGTACTGATAAGATGGATTTTTTTTTTTCAATTGGGCTAATCCTTCCAGCCGCACTCTGGCGGGTCGACTCAGCCTCTAAAAAAATGTGTACCATGAAACTTCCTTGGGGGTAAAGGGCGGTAGGCGCATAAGGCTGACAATCTCACCGCCATCTGTGAGCCGATTGTCTAGAAAATGTGGGATCGTTAACGTCTCACAACCCCATGGGCCTCCATGGCCTGTTACAGGGATAGCGTTACCTTTACCAATGCGAGGTGCGGCTCTAGTAAGTTGAGTCTAATATTCGACGTCTAAAATTGAACTTGTGTTTAAAATAGACGGAATCGTTTTCGATACATAAAAGGAATATGTTAAACATCTGTGAGGTGCCACGCAATGTACGAAAGGCTGTCCTGTAGATTCACGTAAAAGAACTGTGAAAGCTGCACGTCAATCTCAGTGGTTTGACATACTTTTGTGAAGTCCTCTTGTCGTTCTGTTACTGGTAGATTACCGTAACCATGTTTTGTTTTAAATAAATCAATCAGTCAGAAACTGTTTTTATTATTCTAACGTTAAATGTGATGGCTGAAACTTTCATCCAAGGCCACAATTCCCCGGACACCAAATCATGTGATTTCCCGTTGCGTGATATGTCAAAAAGGCACAGATATGTCTCAATCCAATTCATGTCACAGGTGTAGGGTAATGCCTGTCACGGTCTTGCATGAAAGGTTAGTACTACAACTAACAAAAAAACACGTTTTTGCTAATAAACCTGTTAGATTGGTTTTATCCTTTGTTAGATTTTCTTAACAAACCAATTCTCTCTTATAGAATAAACAGAATTATCAGCATACGAATACCAAGGCTTGCCGGCCACGGTAGCCACCAGGTCTAAGGTATGTTCTGTCTTCTTTCGAAAGCCGCGTCCATGGGTTCGAATCACACACGAGGCATGGATGTTTGGTGTGTGTTTGTGCTTATCCTGTGTTTAGGCAGAGGCCTTCCTACAAGCTGATCTCCCGTCTAAGGAATCCTACGGTCTGTAAAATGATCATGAAACTGAGAAATCAGCCTTAAGCTCCAAAGTGAGAGCAAGAGGAAAAAAAAAATGCCAAAACTTGCAAGTAGACTCGAACTTGAGACACTTCTGTGCACTTGTCAGCCTTACAGCCTCTTCTCCTGATGTCCATCTTAATGTTACACTTCGATCTCCTTAATTGTATTGAGTCAAGATCATAAGGGGCCAAACATGTGGATCAGAATAAAGAACCGAGAAATGTAAATATAATTTTACTGGTGTAATTCTCATACAGCGGTCGTTCGGGAGACCGAGACGAATATGAGATAGTGTATAAAATTATACAATATAATATGATACTAAAATGAGTCATAGAGGAATAGGAATTGCTTGTTCGGTTTGTTTCGAACTGTCTCAGGAATGAGTGACGTGGCAGTATTCTGTGTCAATTCCGCTGGCTCCTCGATGACGTAATTAAAAATGGTACCATTAAGCTCCGAAAACCGCTGGCTTTAAAAATCCTTAGATATACATGAACGTATACGCGTTTACTAAACCCTCGATACACAAAGCCTTGGGTTCGAGTCTGTAGATATTCTCTTTCGAATTTTGAACATCCCAGAATCAAATATACTCCCAAAGACTGCAGAGCCTAGCTGAGGATATTGAAGGAGTTCTTCAGTCCCTGCAGATAAATTCTAGAACAGTGGATTAACTTCGGCCACGACCGCTTCCCTATCAACTACAATTTATCCTCTTCTACTATTCGACACTCTTTAGTGTGAGCTAACCTAACCACAAATCTGCAGTTAAGTTTATTTCTATGGCTCTAGAGACCTCTGGACTTTGGCGGCTTTTTCTAACATACAGTTGGTAGAACTCATCGGACAGGGGATCAGTCAGTCGCAAGGCCAACATCTACACACATAACATAAACACGAAATAAATGCACACAGACATCCATGCCTCGAGTGGGATTCGAATTCACGATCCCTGTGTTCGAGTGGGGCGAAGGCGGCTCATGTCTTAGACCTCGCGGCCACTGTGATCGGCATTTTACGCACCAGACATTGAAAATACCTAGATTGTGCACTTCATGAGTACTATTTTGATCCATGATTATATTCCCACAACCCACAAAAAAAATGAAATTCTACACTGAAAACATTTGACTTGTGACGGTATAAAAAATTAACACGTTGCAAATCGACCTTAAAAACGCAATGATGCATTATATTATCTGCACAGTTCTGCATAGCACTTTAATTAACAAGCAAAAGAAAAATTCTGCATCACCTTCCACAACGACCCCTGAAAGCTCTCTCTTGTCACTGACCGGACAAGCACCCATTACCTCATCAGGGTTTTCCACAGTTCGTGGTGTCTCCATTCCTACAGTACAGGAGAATCCTCATTTCGAACTGGTTTCTTGCAAGTTCAGAGATCCAGATTTGTACCTTTAGCCCAGTGAAAAGAACGCCTTCACTTTCTGTACAATCTACGGTAAAGTAACGCACGATGGTACAAAAATAAACAACCAACGCTACGGCCTCCACTACTACAGTGACAAATCTGATTGGCTGGTTGACCAGCTCAGAGACAGTTCTGATCCACAAAGACCACTTAAGTAAGAGTCTTATGAAGTATATCCCACGCAGAACTTCATTCGTGCGGTAACATTAAATTTAATAAGTCTGTATTGGTTGCTTTTTGATCCCGACTGCAGAGATTCCAAGTCACCGCCAAGTTCAACAGAATAAAAGATTGAATGCGTTATATCACGAAGAAAATAATTTATGTTTATAAAAAGAAGTGAAAAATAAACAAACGTTAGAACAAAACTGTGTATACTTTAGAGAATCTTTTGTTCGCTGTTTTTAATAATATAAACACAGGTTTTCCCAGTGTTCTCTCTCTGTCTCTATGTGTGCAGGTTTCATATTTCATAATGTTACCTCCAGTACGTCCCATCTGCCGTGTTCTGTTTGTATAAGCACCGTAATTTCCATAGCAACCTCCTGTCTGGCGAAGAGCACGGAACACTGAACTTGGCTCGGCACGCCACACGGACACACAGTGTTCCCCCAGCATTTGTCACGGACATTGAAGGAACTACTTTCATTTGGTTCCGTGTATTATTTCACCCCAATATGTAGTTGTCTGAAACAGTGTCAATATTTATCTTGTGACTGAAGTTTTACATGTCGTACGTAATATTTCATACTAGCCACAAGCAATCTGTTCTGAAGAAATAAAATAAAAATATTGAAATGCATATTTCCTTCCTAGTGAAGTAATGAGCCCTTGTATTAACATGTTTTCTGAAGTAGAAAGATACAAAATTGTAGCTTAGTTCAATCAGTAATAAATCCAACGTTCATTTCAGAGGTACCTGATTTGAGCCTCTGCCAGAGAAAATGAGGTCAATTATTTCGTCGTTTCCATCAGTCCCTCTGAAATATCCTAAAACGGACCACGATCGCCTCCTCTATTGTCTTTCTCAAATGCGTATACACAGTCACCTTGCCACCGTAGTTTAAGGCGAATAAAAATCTATGGTAAACAAAGCGTCGTTAAAAAAATATATGAAAAATATGTGATTCATATTAGCTCTTTCTAAAGGGGTCAACTGAGTAGGTGTCTTCCTTTCTCACCTGAAGACCGAAACAGATCCAGTTTCCGAAGCTTCGTGTCCTCTATTACCTAGAATTCCGAACGATGAAAAAGTAAAAAAAAAAAACAGTAATTCTGTGAACAAATTATTTCTTTTACATTATATTGATACAATTATTGTGGTTCTGGACAGTGTGCAGCTTCCTGTTTTTATTTAAAACACAATATTTCGAAGACCGGATTCTGTCTCCGTCTTCAGTTTGGAGCTATTCTGCTGGGCAAAATCAATAGAGCTAGTCTCCATTTCCGGACAGATATGAACTAGCTGTAACAATTGGGTCAAACTAAGTAGGTTCCACCCGAAGACGGAGACAAATTCAGTCTCCGAAACGTCGTGTTTTCTATAAAAACAGGATGATGGATGCTGTACGGAAACACAATAATTGTAGTAAATTAATTTTTATTTATAACCAGAATATACGGTACTACACAAAACAAATTTTTCTACACGTTGAAACATTAACATTTTCCCCCCATTCTTCCATCCATCAGCGGAACATCTGTGTAGCTCCACTTCATTTCTTACTTATAACACACGAGCATACGCTCACTACTAATCCCACTTTCATAAAGGCATTGTAATTACGTTGCTTGTTATGACACGTGAACATAACACAAATATATGGAACATGTTAAAAAATCTCAGTGTCTACTCAAACTGTAACTAAGAGACCTAGTTCAAATCCACAAGTCAAAGCTTCTTATTATAAAGAATTTATGTGATTTCTCCTTTACACATAATGGAAAGAATAATTTATACTAACATTAAGTCCACAGTTTAAAAAATTAAATAATATTATGCCTTATCCATCCACTGCTAGGCAACGACTCGATAAAAACTTTCCCGTGGAGAGAGATTCTTGGTTGCTGGGTAATGCTGATAACAGTATGTGACAATGAATGACATCCATTTCTGGGCATCGGATCAATACACACGCGGCTATAAGAATAAGTGTTTTCCATGTGGTTCGCGCCGAGACTGTCTGCTAGGCAACTGCGTGTTGACACGCCTCTACAACAATAGGCTGGCTGTGTTTAGTGTTGTCAGTGCCGAGGAAATGTAACAGAGTCGAATTCCAAAGCTAGTAGCTGTAGGACTGCAGAAGAATACAAGGCGTAAAAGAAAGTATGAGAATGAGAACTGAGTCAGTTGTTGGCAGGAGATAGACACTGAAAGTTAGCAGTTGAAGAATGATTAGAAGTCAGCCTGTGAAGACATAGTGTGTGATTAGAAGATTTAGCCAAAATGAGACGGTTTTCATTCCGTTACCAGGATATGACTAATGAAGGCGGAGAATCCTAGTGTGTGTGTGTGTGTGTGTGTGTGTGTGTGTGTAACCGTGGAGAGCGATAGAGCTGTATTGCTCGTTTGATTGTATAAGGTGTTAATAAATACAGTCATCAATCCAAATCCCGTCTATAGTCACTAATAAACGTGACAGTATTATCAATTGTGAAGCCGAACTCCACTTTCGTACTAATGAAATTGTTCTTATCTGCCGCCTGATATTGTTATGTTAATTTGAGTCTCCATGAGTGGACTGATGTTGGACGGATATGTGAATAAAAGACACGCACACAGAACACTTGTCATAATTTCATTTCTGCTTAGGAAATACAAAGTCTCGGTAGTAGACTCGGCTTCTGTCAACAGGTAAATATATGAGAACTGCTTGAATTCCTCATAGGTAATCTGTATTCCCAGAGGTTGGTACCATTATTTGACTTAACAACATAAATTTACCTGGCGAAAGAATAGAGTTAGCTTAAGAATTTTTTTTAATCAGGTAGTAGTTGACGGAAAAATCAAATATGTCAATTCAGCAATATACAACAATCACGAACATACAGGATACATGAAAATATGAAAAAATATGGGGACCGGTGGATAGGTGCGTGCTTGAAAATTTGGATGCATTCATGGACGAACGTATGGATGGACTGACGGATTCATGAATGAATTTTATGGTGGCTTACTGGGAGGACGCACCTTATTGCTGACGTGGGAGAAATGGCGTTGCTGAGAATGTCATCTTAATGTAACTCTGGACATTGTCTGTAATACACTTTTTATAAAAAAAACATACGTTTTCTGTGTTCGCGGCCCATAAATATACCTTTAATATCATCATCATCAGTAATCTGTCAAGACGACAGGTCCACAGTCTCTTCCAAAACAATTCCTCCACTTAATGCGATCTAGAGCTTTCTCCTTCAAATGACAGTATCCTCTTCTGTCCCCAAGGTCATCCAGCATCTTCTTACGTCTTCTTCCTCGTCTTCTTGTCACTTCTATCCGCCCATCTATCTTTCCTTCGATAGCTTCTTTTAGAAGGCAGTTTCTGCGTAAAACATGACCAATCCAATTAGCCTTCCGTTTTCTTATTTCATGTAGGATATTCCTCTGCTCACTGACTCTAATTAACACTTCTTCATTTCTCACATAATCGGTCCAACTGATCTTCTCCAACCTTTAATATATGATACACAAGAGGATGCAGAAAATAAAGATATTATTTTATTTCTAAATTTGAAATATGTTTCTGTTGCAGATAATGAAACCACATATCCTCATAACTGGATGCTGATCGTGCTATCAATATTTATAGGCACGTGGCGGGGTACTGCGTAGGTAAGTGTCCACTACCGATGAACTGATTCCCCTCTGGAGCATGTAAAGTTCCAGCTACATATTAAAAGATCTGCAGCCTCAACTTCATACAATTCATAAGATTTAAACCCGATTTTAAGTACCAGAGAAGATTCAATTCAGCAATTATATTAATATTTTATTTGTAAACTACTATTTTAAACATGTAATTAAAATATTTTAACTTAATATACTAGGTAAGTAGTTAATTAATAACATCAAATTATCATCCCTTTTCCATGATATTGGCATACACATTTGTATGCTATACATATCATTCTTTTCGTGTTAATTATGTAATGAAATATCTCCATTGGCAAGGGCATATAAGTTCAAATAAGTAAAACATAAGGTTTTCAAGGCGGTGACTATGAAGAATGCCGTCTTCTGGGATGTGGTTTCGTGTAGATCTTGTGTGCAGTCTGCAGCCACTTGTTCACGCTGGTTCCTCGCTCGCGGTTTTTTCCACCCTGAAGATTGAGGCGATACGTTCCTCCGAAACGTTGGTTCATGCAAGATTTACACGGCGCCATATTCCAGAAGACGGCATTTAATAAGTTCACATAACACCTCAACATCTTTCAAAGACTCTCTGTAAATTTTACACTGACTAAGCCTGTTTCATAACTGATTTCAATGGTTTATGATATGATTCTCAGTAGACCTGAAGCTGACAGAATGGGATACTCAGTGTTTCGAAACTAGTATCAATATCTGCGTTAAAACTGAGGCGTATCTCGACACCAGCAGTGGCAGTGCGTATACATACGCCGATATTTCCATGCTCAAAATTTGCATGTACTCCTTCCGTTCACACTTGTTTTGCGTTTGTATCACACGTTATGAAAAGGCGAATATATTTGTGAACATGGCGCTGAGAAAATATCTAGATCTCAGTTGGAGGAAATTGTAGAAGGTTGGTAACATACTGAGAAATTCGCAGTTTATACTGTTAACAAATACTGGGAGGGTGACCAAAAAATTAAGCATTCTGGGGGTGTTCCAGGAAAGTTTTGTATGGAAGAATATTTAAACAAAAGAGAAGAAGTAGAAGGTTGTGCAAAAGACTGCAAAACAAGGATGTTCACACACAAAATTGGAAGAACTAACAGTAGAAGAAAAGACAATATTAAAGTTATGAACATATATTTTTGAGAATATAGATTGATTTGAAACGGCTCAGAACGGAAATATTATAATAAAATTTTTGGCAACATAAATGGCGGACAATTTCTTGACCAGCAGAGATGGTCCCAGTTTCTGTTCACTGTAGTTACGTTATCATGAATAAAGTAGAAGGAAGGTGTGTTCGTATGTACATAAACATGACACACATATGTTCGCATATATTTATTTTATCGATTGAAAAATGACTTAATTGGATATCAACAGTACTGATTAAATTAAGCATGCAGAATTAAGACTCTCTTATCATATCACCGAGCGTGATCATACGTTAACCGTTGTTTATAATTGAAGCTCTGTATCAGAAGCAGGTGAAGGGGGTTTGAAGTGTAATTCGTAAAAAAAGGTGAAGCTATCCCTGTAACAGGCGGTGAAAGCCCATAGGGTTCTGAGGCGTTGAGGATCCCAAATTTTTGAGAATATCGGCTCACAGATACCGGTGAAATTGACAGCCTTACTCGCCGACAGCCTTTTACCTCCAGGAAGATTCCTGGTACCCACTTATATTAGAGTCTGAGTCGAACCAGAACCATAGTGCGGCTGGAAGGATTAGGTAAATTGGAAAAAATACACCTCATCTGTACTCGAACCTGTGACCTTTCAGTTTGTAACATAGTGCCTCAGTGTAATTAGTATGACCTAAATTGATTTTACATGCCCAAGTTCTGTTGTTCATGTTTAAAATATGTTAAGAGAAAATTAATGATAGTTCGTAAAATGAGGCGCCTAGTATTACAAAATTTCTATGTGTAACGAAACCGTTTTCATCCTACAGGGAAGGCGCCGTGCTGTTTAACACAGATGAGAGGGCGATGTAAAATGAACCGCAAGAGCGGGAGTGTTCAGCACAGATGGAAGTCTCTTGGTGGATCAGACTGGCAGTGACAATTGTGTAGCGGAATTATTCAACCGTCAAACTTCTGATAGCATATAAATACATTGTGCTGGCACCAATAGGTGTAAACTAAAACAGGGTAAATAAAACAGTTGCCAAAGACAAAATAAATATATAATGTTACAGTTTATTAATGTTTATGAGATGTGTTAGTCCCGTGTCACTTGAATGCATTTTTACGACTGCTATTTTCATTAGTAAATACAAGAGTTCTCAATTATTTTCTCTCGCGCTTTGTCACTAATAAATCATTGAATTGTTAGCAAGTCTAGACCTTGTTTCCTAACAGTGCTGGTAAGAATATTTGTGCAAATTATCAACTGGTTACGTGATGTACAGCCTTGTCATTTCGAGATGACCGGTATTGGTGGACGAGAACGTCTGGGATATGATACGCATGCCAGGTACGCACTGTTGTCATATTATAAATGTAAATTGCGCTTACGTCCATCACGAAATTAATAGAACTTACAATTGATTAGCCATTTTAAACTGTAAGATGAAATACTTTATTTCAAATTCAGTTCTTATGTAGTCCAACTAGACCCATATAAGCAGTAAAATTTAAGAAGTGATATTTCCTGAAAGATACCAAAGTGTACTTGTTATAACATACTGACATATAAACTGAATATTCTGGAAGTTATGTTTTCCTAAATAATAAAAACTTGAATGTGATGTAAGTGTATTATAATTCAGTTATAATATTTTCCTTCAAGATTTGTGGAGGCAGAACTCCACTTGCCCATACGTCTTCATGGTCTGGTGCTTGATGATTTAAGCACACAAACAACTTTACATTTACCTCACTTTCCTCCCCCCAAAATTAGAATATTCTTCTCGTAGTAGCTAATACCAATATGAATAATATATAAAAGAAACCGTTTTTACGCCACGGGATTTAAACGCCTATGTGTTACGTTGTGACTAAGAACAAAAATAACCGACTAATTTGATTGATGTGTTCGGTATTTTCTTCTTTTGATGTATTTTAAACGTTCAAGAGGTCTTTAAGGAATGCATCCTGTTGCATGATCAAACTAATCAATTATCGTATTCCGTCTAACGCAACACAGAGAATATGTAACATACAATTGATTTTATTATAATTACCTGTTTCGAAAAATTTTATCTGGTCATCATCAGGTGAATAAAAAGCTTAACAAGTGCTCTGTTGAACTGGAAAACACTTTACCTCTCATATGGGCCCATATTTATTTTGATGCCAGTATTAACATGGATAAAATCTACATATAGAACGAAGCTTTTGTGCGGATTAAGTAAAACTGAACTACCCTGGAGTGAACTAGAATAAACGAGTCTGGAGCTACAAGGGTGCGATCCTTTATTCCGTTTGTTGCTGGGTGGCGAAGGTGATAAACGAGTGACGCTTAAGAATGAACTGGTGAATGTTTGCTGGCCTAACTGGGCTATGGTCCTTATTCTTGAACTGTGTAGCTTACACTGTGTAAAGCAACTGCAATTCAACAGAGCACTCGTTAAGTATTTGTGTTCACCTTATGATGACCAGATAAAATAGTCGAAACATGTTGTGAGCTTAATAAAATAAATTGAATGTTATACATTCTTTGTGTTGCGTTACACGGAACATAATAATTGATTAGTTCAAGAGGTTCAGGATTATATGATATTGACCAATGACTACGTTTGCTGATACAAATTTATATATTCACTAGCATGGCATCTAGGGTGTATTACAAGAATTAAAGAATAAGTCAGTGTTATTCTTCAAGGAACTGTATCATCTACCTTTCCTGTTACGTATGAGACTTAGTTTGTTCTTGAACTGAGACGAAAACGACAGTGACTAAGTGCGCGGTGCGTATTGTTCACTGCTTCTCGGTAAGTGTCTACGGACATTGAATGTCTAACTACAGTCTAAAGAGTGAACAATTACTAAGAATGTAATTTTTTACTTCCTCGTGTCCCCACTTTGAAGCTTGCTCCAATTTTGGAACACAGGGCTAATTTCTCATTTTCTTGATTATTTTACAGACGGTAGGACTCCTTGAACGGGTTATCAGCTCGTCGCAAGGCCTCTACCTAAACACAGGGCAAACCAAACATAGAAAAACACACATATACCAAACATTCATGCCCTGAGTGGAATTCGAACCCACGATCCCGGCTTCTGAGAGAGCGAAAACTGTACATGCCTTAGACCTCTCTGATACCGTGACCGGTCCTAAGATTGTAATGCTGGATAACATTTCATCTTCATGAATGTGGATTATGTATGAATGGAAAATGATTTATTTAAAAAAAAAGTCAAAATGAATATAAACTTATGCAGCTTTTCATGTACAATAATTCCACCATATAAATACTCAGTTATCTTTTATTCCCCAAATAAATTTTGCACAAAGTCCAAAAATAGGATCTATAAAGCTTCTTCTACTATATACTAAGGCGGTGCAATAACAATTAAAATATTTAAGGTTACAATTAGCGACAAAGAAATATATATATGAAAACACCGAATCAGATACAAGCATATTGAGACCGAATCATATGAATTCGATTACAGCGACAAATTACTTGAATACATACAAATTAGTAAGACTGATACAACAAATATTTCTGCCAGATATTCTTCATTCTCAGGGATAACCGACAGAAATATACAGACTCAACAATGTGCATATCTTAATGATTTCACCTACAAAAATTCTGGATTGTTACAACCAAATCATCTAGGCCTCTCTGTCGGTCTCAATACGTATTGCATATCTTTCATGCTGTGGCATGTAGGACCTTTGCTTCGCTGTTACGGCGGGATAGGCGACTGTACAGCGGCAGTTGCTAGGCGGCGGCCCTCAAAAATAAGAGATGAGTGGTGTTTTCTGCTCCGCCCGATAAGCAACAATTGAACAGCAACAGAGGAATTATTTTCTGTGTGGACCGTGCCGATATGTTATAAGCAGGACAATTGAAGCAATGAGTTAGTTGTAGGACAGTAGTCAGAAGGTAAGAATATAAGCACGGAAACAGAAGGCATAGTTGTAATCCGTCACTAGGCAACGACTAGTGAAGACACAGCAGGCTGAGAAGATTTCGTACGTGCTGTAGTGAACTGCAGAGTGTGAATTAGAGATATCGCTATAGTTATTGGATTACAGAATATTTGCCTGGGCTGAAATTATCCGCCTTGAGGGGCTTAACATGAATAAAAATATTTGTTTCTGATCCATCATTAACCCCTTAACGATTATCACGTTGAACTCTTCACGAAGAGGACTGTGAACTAAGGAAACCAAATGGGAGGGGACCAGAGAACCTGAGTTCCATTGTCACACAAACAGAGTCCGAATCCGCGGTGCCCCTGCCCGCGAGGGCAAGTGAGACCATTCGAGCAGCAATGGTTCTGACTTGTATTCGGGAGGTGTCTGATTTGAATTTCGGCTAGTAAACCAACTACCCTGAATGAAGTATTCGTGGCTTTAGTAATACCGGGGCAATGCCTTGAATTACGTCATGACTAATGTCTTCCACCTCCTCATCAATTCATTATTCACTATCATCGAGTTATTAACCCAATAGGGTGTTGATTTAGCGCCAACGTATTTCAACACGCAGCAAATAAATAGGCATTAACTAGGCACAGAGACAGGAGAATGAAAGGAATAAATAAATCATTCTTAGGTGTACAGATTAATACCATTAATGTATAATTAGTGTTTCTGTATAACGTTACATCTGACTGAAGGGCTTTCGTAGCATTAATTCCGAAACACCACTTACAACAACTTGGATCCCGCTACGGACTCTGCTGTCCCTTCAGAAACTGGTTCTAATGTTCCCGTGAGTGAGTAAGGGGTGAAGCTAAACTCCCCTTCCCTTGGTGTCATCCTGCAGTTCGAAACCTGAAGAGTACACATATTAATTCGAAGCATTTCTCCAGTTCGTCTAAAAAGAAATATTCCTGGAATATAGATTCTCGTAAATGATCTTGTCAAGCACAGGAGAAAAACACATAAGTATGAAGAGTTCTTTGGTGTGGGATATAGTGCCATGTAGTCAGTTGAAAGTCAGCTGACATTTAGGAGGAATATATCGCTTCCATCTTCAGGGCAAAAAATAAATCAAGCAAGAAACCAGCGAAAAATCAGATGGCTTGTCAACCTGGTTTCTTTTCTGATTTATCTTCAAACCTGAAGATGGAGAAGACGTGTTCCTCCGAAACGTCGATTAACTTACAACGAACTACACGGCGTTATATCCCAGAAGATTTACGCCGCTCTAAGAACCTAAAATCCTGCAAAAACTTATATTTCTTCTACCATCTCATACAGGCCTAGTCCATAAAAGAAAATACGGTGCAAATTATTGGACTAAATGTCCTTTGTAAAACGCAAGTCCTCGTCGCAGAGTGGGTGTAGTCTATAAACCGGAAGAAACAGGAATCTTTACCTCGCGCTTTTGGTCCACATCTCGAATAGCAATCGGAAGGCACAGATAACGTTCTCCACATCCTCACCCTCGATAATATAAGCAGCTGGGTCGTCATCTTTACTTTTACAAGTCGCGTAATAACTAAAATATATAAGAACATCATTCGTCACTAGCACAGACCTACCAACCTTGCATATCCGAAAGCTAAACACAAACACACAAAACACTGATATACGCCTAAGTATCGTCATCAGCAAGGCAACACGCGGTCCAACACAGGACAGGTAAGCTAGTCAGCAGCCAGCACGGAGCAACTGTAGGCTTCATATCAGGAGAGAATAAAACTCGTAAGGGAGCAACTACTTCAGTATCCTGAGAACGAAACTCCGTCTGAATTGAATTCAAGACGGAAACACCGGAGTTCTTCCAGTTTCGGCGAATATGGTACGTACTGAATAAAACAATGATATAAGTAACACGCCTGAGTGTATTGCGTCCACCGATGAGCAAGTAAAGCAAGCGCCAAGCAGAGTTGGCGCCGGTAAATTTCTATCAGATTACACGGCGTCATTTCCCATAAAATAGCACTCTTCACAGCCAGCCTCGTGATAGCCTCAGGTCTCACATATAAAAAATGTATGTGTTATTACGATTATCCACGATTTATCAGCTCTTTTATGGCTGTGTTCGGAATATTAGGCGATGTATTGCTTAAGATGTGACTTTTAGGGAACAAGATAACTAAGACAGATCTGCAGGTCATACAAGTCTGTTGCATCTGGTTTCTATTTTTTGTCATCAAAAGCAGAAAATTGTTTGCAAGTTAGACAGAAGATTAAGAACACTATACAGAAATAAAGAGGCAAAATATGGTAAAAGCCCAACAGTCGGTAAACATGTGAGTTCTTTCCGTATATATTCATTTGAAACACCTTGTAAAGGGGGGCTGTAATGAAGACACAGCATTGCCCTGGGATACAGCGTGTTGTCGGGTAGCGGCCTCTATGGACTTCCCTCCACATACGTCTTAGTGTATCCTGCTGCCTTCCGCAGAGAATGAGTAAGGAGTCTGTGTGTACGCTCCGATTAGGTTCATAAACATAAGAAAACTAGGAACACAAAGGAAAAGGTACCGAGCAGTGCATGTTGATCCGTACTATGAATTCTCGAACGGAGTATCAAAATATTACAGCAAACTGAAATTTTAACCACATTTAATTGAATATTAATCCATTAAATAAAGGTTATTATGGAGTAAACTTAAC